TAAGGTTTGGTTAAGGGGTAAGGTTCGATTTACTTATCTAAACATATGTGATAAATTGTTTTTTGTTTAAACGTTGATATTAACATAAGTCTAAACAACTGTAATAATTAAATGTTTAATAAGAAAAATATGTTTACTATAGTTATAGTAAATTAAGGCTCGTTCTTACCCTTTTAATTTTGTAGAAAATGTGTTGCCAATGTGTTAAGATAAACTATTATACTGTTTAGACAATAATATGGAAGTATATAACATGGCAGTGGGCATATATCGCATGATGTCGAAGGGAGTTGGAAATATGTGCGTTTTCGGTGTCTCATATGTGTGGTATTGTATGTATGTATTATTTTGTAGCGATGAATGGGTAAACACTACCGCCTGTCGCCTGTGTAGTGGGAGAATATGGCAGATGTTCGTTAAAAGCGTTTCGCTTCTTTATGCATTGTGCACACACATATGCATATAATATAGAGTCCCCTCTCCCCACGATAGCTACAGGTTTGATCGAACACACGAGGGTGTCTTTACTGGAAACTGAATACTGTATTGTCTGGAGATTTCAACGATACGCGATTCTATCAGTGCGGTGCAGTTATACCTATACCGTCGTCGCATTGATACAATTATCATCGGCCTTTATAGATTTTTTTATTGTACTTGGTATCAGCTGTTGAGGTCTGCGTGATTGGATCAGAATTTTGAGTCACTGAAAAGTTTGCACTACAAAGGAAACGCTTAAAAATCCGACGGGACAACACTTTATATGTTAGCTTGGAACTACAGTGAAAAACAATTTTTGTATCGAGAATTACTTATAAAGCATATATCTCGGAAACGCTTTACTTATAAGTTTAGGTCAATAGTTTTCTCAGCTCTCATTGTTTGTGTCAATCTTAATAGAAAGTATCGCTAAGATATATAGATAAAGATAATAAGTTTATCTATCTAGTAAACGGAGTGAAGTAATTGTTGTACAATTAATTAACGAAATTAATTAATTAGAGGATAGGCTTATCTCATCAGCATTCAGATATAGTAAACAATTCCAGTGACAATCATACTAGAATGATGATACATTTTTGTTAACAATATCTCTCCCACACAAACTGCTATGATTTCCTCCCGTGAGCGGTCTAGTTGTGTTATCTAAATCTGTGTTGTTTTGAGATTGAAATTGACCCAACCCGGCTTAACCCGACCCCGACTTCTTCAATCAATACAACGACATCGCTCGGTTGACAAATGAATCTCTAACGAATTATACCCTAAAAAAATCAGCGCGTAAAAAGTACATGAAGAAGGAAGAAGAGGATAGTGTCTTATGATGGTAGTAATAATAATACCAACAACAACAAAACCGTCGACTTATTTCTGTTGGGTGTGGACCAGCAAAGCACGTTCGACCGGCGGCTGAAATATCTGTGATTAGATTATACGAAAATAGCCGGTTGTTATACCGCCGTTTCCATGTACAATATATGTGTTTGTGTGTAATAATACCTATGTGTACCGCGACCAATGTGGACCTCACGATCAAGTCGACCTATGCGACCGGAAACGAAATGAGTCGCTATATTATTACTATTATTATGGCGCATCTGCCGTTTTGCATTTTTATCTCTTGTGCTCATCTGTCACGCGAGAGAACGCATTTGTCACGACGACACCGGTTAATTAATTAATTGGCCGTGTAAAACGCCATCGACAATTACTGTGCGCACGGTCGATTACTGTATGCTTAACGAGCCAATATCGTCCGCATCTTTTTACCGCTACCGTGGTCGCGCACAACAGTTGTCGTGAAATCGGAAAATTGTTCACAATTTCGATGAGCAAATGTTGTCACTGACGACAAACAGATCGCGGTATAGTGCCGAGAACGACATTAAAAAAAAAAAAATAATAAGACACGGACGTCAACGAACGCCGGGCGTGTGGTCACAAGGAGAAGAAGAAGAATGCTAATACTTTACATTATACAATGTGTCCTCCGACCAATCGGTACAATACCGGGAGCCGAGGCCGGCCGAAGGTCTTTTTGGTTATTTTTTCAGTCCGACGGCAGCTGAACAGCCGGCGATGGCTCGCGTCCGGGTACTTTGACCCACGGGCAGACACGTACACGCCCACTACCGATAGCGCACATAGTGTACAGGTATTATACATGGCAACGCTGTGATATTATATTATACTTATTATGTGTTATTGCGCCTCTCTCCCCTCTGTTGTCCCACGGGCGCTAACGATTATTTTTGATTTCGTTCGATAAATGATAATAATTACAACTATTAATCAAGATGGTCCGGCGGCAGACGGGCGTCGCGTGCTTACACGATCTTGGGTTGCGAAAATCTCCGTTATCTCAGCCGGCACGCACTACGGTCATCACGGGTATGTTATACCACTTGTAGCAACCTAATACAATAATACTGCAATGTGCCGACACCGGCCAGCCACCGGCGGATTCAACAATTTCGAAATGAATATGAATTATTGCTGGGGGGTCAGTTCAAAATTTGCGTGTCACGATGTGTGGAAGGTAAAGTAGAAGAGGAGGGAGTGGAGGGATATTTATCAGGCCTAAAAGTATAGATTTTGATCAGATGATTATAAGATCAAGGAATAAATTGATTTAATTTTTGACCGGACACGTTTTTCGCAAAGGTTAGCACAAGCATAACCGGCGTGTGGGATTTTGAAAAGTTCTTAAAGCTAAAAAGGTCTCTCAACTTGATTTGAAGTTAGTCTAACCCGAGCCTACGCCTAACTTGGCCGTATATCGGAGTGTACCAGCCCATCACAGAGGGTCAGACGATAAGGTCAGATCGTTTAGGCGTCGTCTTCACCAGTGTTTTATAGCCCGTTTGCTCAATCTGTCGTCACATTGACTCGGTCTGGCATGTACGAAGAAAACCTCTCAAGACTCTAGGAGACAATATATTATGGAAGATGGTTGTTGTTACGGTGGTGCTGCGGGTAACGCGATACGGACGTGGACAATGACATTTATGCAGTTTTATGCGAACCCCGAGTAGGTACTGTATTGATGGTCGATTGGGACGAGGCGAACGCGCTTTTACATCGGTGTGGGGTGATGTGATTTAACGTTGCCCGTGTGCTTGTAACAAATTGGCGTTGTACACGCTCTCGGCCGGCGCGTACATCTTTTATTGCGCGGCACCGTCGTACACTTAATTTCGTATGCACGGACCGTCGGCCACCGGCACTTTATGTGTATGTATGCATATTATATATTATATTGTTGCCGTCGAACATGTCGGAAAGAAGAAGAAGAAGTGTAAGTAGGAGTAGGAGTAGGAGGAGTCGCCGTTTGAATTGATTGCTGCGACGGGGTATGTGTGTGTGTGTGGTAGAGAGATACAAGAGAATCGTAAGTCGTCCCGGGCGGCCCGTGTATAATATGATGTTGTTATACCTATAGGCTATGGGCGACACTGCGGGTTAGGTTCTTATTTTTTCATTAACGGTCACGACCGGCGGCTATCGGTGGAACTAATTGCCGGTACGCCGAGCAACAGACCCGAGACCGGAGTTATTATTATTATTATTCTAATACAAGTACAATAATAATTAGTAGCCTCAACGTGGTCGTCGATTTTTATACATTATATTATTTAAAACTGGACTCTCCTGGTCGACCTGTCCCGAGAGACTCTGCTCTGACCGGTGTGTTGACAAAACGTCTTTATCCGGCCCCTCCGGACCTCGTGCGACGGGGTGGCGCCTTGTATAGTAGTGGAGCGGTTCGTGACGTGTGGTGTATATTTCGTAAATAGTAGCAGATGGCGTTGATTGTATGTTTTCGATATGTCGGTGACGATAAGACGGGGAGCGTTAAAGTCTCCGGCCGTGTGCCACCGCCGCCGCAGCAGCAGCAGCAGCAGCAGTAGAAAACGAGTAGACCGCTTTGAATTGACTCCGACCGAAAGATAACAATAATAAAAAAAAAAGTAAAATTTATTATCGTTTGTTGTCGTTAAAAATATTAGGACCGGCATCATTAGGTTCTTCTCTCTGGTTCTGTATAAAAAAATCTCGTCTGTACATATTCTCTTCACGGTCGGCGAAACAATCCATTAACGCGCGAACCACCACGGTAATCCGACTCCCAGGCCGCCTCCGCCTGTGCTCGGGTTTGATGGAAAACAAGAATAAGGGGGGGGGGAAATAAAGAGAAAAATTATACCTTCAGTGTGCTGCCCGGAGGCTAATGGACGTCGAGTAAATGTTGTTTTTGGTGTGGATTTTTATAATAACAATTATTACTATACGACGTTATTATCCACAACGGAAACCGTCCGACTGGGATTCATTTTTCATCAATTCATTTCAATCGCGACGACGTTTCTCGGCATGTATTCAAAATATCCAAACGACCGTCTCGTGTAACTCGATTGTTGCTCGACACGTCTCGACCATTAGTCTGGTCCATTGCGGCTACCACAAGTGCGGTATTTAACGGACAATGCGCCGCACACACAGCGAAACCATAACTGCATGCTCGGTCGCGATGCTAATAATAAATAGCGAGTCAAATGCTCGCCCGTATAGAGGTTATCGTCGCGTGTGTAGTACACTAGGCTTGTCTTTGCGGTTAGGTTTTACTATCGGTCCACGCGGAACCGGTCGACCGAATCCGAATTATGGTCTGGAGATACGATCTGTTTTTTTTTTATTTTATACCATAATTTTTTCTGAACAATATTTCCAGTGGTCTTGTGGCTCGGCCTCAGCCCCGGCTCGTATTATAATATTTTATATATCTCGGGAGTTTCGTGACCGCTCCTTGTCCACAACGCGCGAACACACACACAACGACGTGCTCCGGGCGACCAATATATTAACGTGGTATCTCTCTCTCTCTCCCCGAGACGTTATTATATATACCTAGTCCTTCTTTATCTGTACACTACGAATACACCCCGTGTACATGGAAATTATAATAATAATAATAATAAACGACCTGTTCATTGTTTCAGCTGTACCGGATTGTTCGTGGGCCCGTACTGCCAGTGGAAAAACCCGTGTCACACAGGACCCGTCCCCCGTTGCCAGAACGGTGGAACGTGTGCCGTGACGCAACTGTCGCCGCACTCTCAGCCCGGATTCGCGTGCCAGTGTCCACTGGGATTTACCGCGTCCCTGTGCGAGATACCCATATCCAATGCATGCGACTCCAAGCCATGCCAGAACGGAGGCACGTGCTGGCTGCACGACATCAAGGAGCACCGGTGTAACTGCGCCCCCGGATTTACAGGTAAACACAACGTGTACACCACACTACGACGGCAGTGTCTGTGTAAAACACCTATGTATCTATCTGCTATCGTAACCCGACAACGAGCACACAGGACTTAAGTCCGACTCGACGCCGTTTACTCTATAGCTACTCTTGGTCTTTTTTTTTATCAATATTGTTCACTATACCTAACCGGTGTGTATGTGTGTGTGTGTTTCGCAGGTCCTAACTGCGAGCTGGAAGACCATTGCGCTTCGGGACCGTGCAAGAACGGTGCCGAGTGCACGTCCAAAGACGATTCATACGAGTGTACGTGCGCTGCCGGGTTCTCGGGCACCACTTGCTCGGAAGACATTGAGGAATGTTCGACCACGGAGCCTTGTGTGCACGGACAGTGCCACAACACGCACGGGTCTTACGCGTAAGTTGTAATTGTTGATGTTGTTGTTTTGTACCGCATAGGATGTGTCGAAAGTTGAGAAAATCCCAGTGTCGTAAAGTAACCGCCAATACGAAATAGTTAAGTCGGTCGTATGTTGGTTTGAAGCCGAGATACTTGCATATTTGTTAGTGGCGGTGGGTGCAATTGGAATTACATTTATATCAACGTCTGTCCCCGGACTGACCGGCTCGTGGACTATAAAATGATACAGGTCTCTCTGTGCGGTCGTCGGCCTATCCGGTCGCCTAATTAACCTTTCGAAACAAAACCGGCTTGTTGTCGGTATTCGGTAGGATTGCTATAATAATCTTTTTTTTTCGAATCAAAATTAACCGTGTGGGGCGTATAATAACAATAATAACAGTATGCTCGAGTTATCAGCGCGTAAGACAGAGAGAGGAAAAATGATAAACTATTAAACAAAAATAAAAATCATGTACGATGTTATTATAATGTGCGTTTGCATGTATAAAAAAAAACGCGATGCACGCAAACCAAAGAAGGTCCATAATTCTTAAGTCGTTCGCGCAAGGACTTGGTAATTATTTCTCGTCCATAGGCGTTTTACACGAACGTATGCGACTATATTATCCTGTGTAACTATAGTATCGTGATCCGTTTAAAAATAAATTAATAATAATACAAAAAAAAAATTGCCCTAAACCCTATTTATAAATTATAATAATTATGTAACGTGCTACGCGTCATGCAGACATGTGCTTGGATTAGCTCGAGGTGTCTGTGTGAATGCTTAAGAAGGAGTACAGGAGGTGGAGGGGGGATAAATTTGCATCAAAATCAGGCTAACAAAAAAAAAAAATCTCCCTCATAATAATAATAATTAAAAGTTACACACTGATGTTGCGCACGCGATGTTACCTCTTACTGTCTCTCGTACACGCTATCGTTGTGTGCTGGAGACAAAACAAAAAATAATAATAGTTAACACCGACCAAATAAAACGATTCTTGGAATTTCAACTGTTTTTAATTCAGTAGTGAATTATTTAAATAACACTAAAACAACAGCAACAATATGGCGGGAATGTGTGTTGGGTATGAGTGGAATTTTTGTAGAAAACTTATAGCCTTATGTAATTTTAACAGTGAAAATACTCGAGTATCATTCATTGGTTTTTTTTCGATGGTCATTTCTATATTAATGAAGTGATGTGTGTGAGAGTGTGAAAGTCCGTGAATAACTATTTTTTTTATCCAATTTGACCGTTGAAACCCCTTTAAATTGTTACAGAATTTTTCGGATTTAACGCGTCTTCAGCAGCTGTTCAGACTAGTTGCGTTATTTGTAATGAAATCAAACGAGAACAGTATATGTATTTTTTGTCGAATCCGGTTTTTTGTTCCTGACAATTAGTACATTTTTTTCTAGGCTAGACAACTCTTGCCCGCTTGAGGTTTTTGACGTTCGACCTAAGTCTTCACGTTCGACTGGTTTTGTATTTATTTTTCAACGGCAGTGCTGTTAAAATGTAACCTAACGACTTTTAGTTAAAAACTAAAAATATAAACAAACACGTTAAGGAAACGCCGTGTCGTAGTCGCGTGGGACAATATATTGTTGGCCGTGTGTGTGTGTGAATGTTTTTATTTTTGTTGAAATTGTTTGTGTATTCGGTGTTTTTTTTGGTATACTACACTCTAAAGATAAGGACAAGCCGCCCACGCGAAAAACGCGCACACAATGCAGGGCAACCGCGTTTATAGTTTGGGTGTGCAAAAACGATAGTATATTTTTAAATAATTTTTTTTTTATACATTCATCATATCAAACATTTATATTTGTTGTATCTACGATTCCGTTTTTCGGTTCACACGATTTTCAGCATGGAAACACGGCTACTATCCCCGAGCCGCACAACAATCGGCCTATTGTCTTGGGTCCATGTTGTTTTATCAGGCGTTATGTGCAAAAAAATAAAACACACTATATTTATATAGCGCCTAACAATAAAGGCGCTTCGAAGCGGAAAACAATAAAAAAATTAATTTCAAGTATAGAATTTTCGTGATGGCGTCCAAAAATAGAATACAATCGCATATAACGATTATATTAATTATTTTCGTTTTCCGAGTAAATTGCAATTGTTAACGGGGTTTTTTGAATTTTGATACTCAAAAGCGGGTCGTGGGAATCATCAGCAATAAAAATATTCAATTATTACAATGCAATGTCGACAAAATCCTATAGATTTACCAGGAAATACAATTTATTGATGACACGTGACCGATTGTATGTAATTAAACCTTCTGATGAGGTGTGCAAAATACCTGTAACAAAATTCCTAATACGCTAGTTATCGTTTCGGGACTTTACTTGTTGTCCCCTCGGTTCGGACAAACGCTCCGGATCCGATCCACTCGGTTAAAACACGACTCGAATGACTTGTAAACGTTTTAAGGATACTAGCGGAACGGGTCTTATGGCTTGTTATAGTGAACATACGTGGGTTTTCGATGACAATTCTAGATAGACGGTGTGCTTACAACGTTGCTGCGAACAGACACACGGCAACTTTGTCATGTTATGATGACCGCGCAGCGACCGTGTATTGATATTATTATACAGTAACAGCGACGCTGCTAACTTGTATTTCCTGTTTCAGGTGTTTCTGCGATCCAGGTTACACGGGAAAGAATTGCGAGATGGTGTACGTTCCTTGTGAACCATCGCCGTGCATGAACAACGGCCGGTGCATGCAAATCGACGATCTCAATTACGAGTGCAAGTGCAAGTCAGGTACGGTTAAGTTTTTGTGTATCATAATTATTATTGTTATTGTATCAGTTGTGTATGTTGTACGGCTGACGCACCACGTCCAGTTTTGCTTTAAAATAATAATAATATACAAAATAAATTCTGATCCCAAAAGTCACTCCACACGTGTGGTCGTCCGTTTTGAATTATAATATGGTCAGCTAAAACAAACACAATTTATTATTTTGTAAATAACGTGTTTACCGGGTGTCGGCGGGAGGTCCCATCTCGGCAGGAACCTAGTGAAGACAAAGTCGCCCTGCTACATCCCCCCCCCTCGGTTTTCCAGCAATAATATTGTATACTTACCGGACAGCTTCCCCGGGGGGGCTATGTTAATAACGTGTGGCGACACGTTAATATTTCACGTGTACTACGGTATACAAGGCGACAATGTCAGAGGTTTAGTCGAAATTCAAACGGCTCCAACGGGTTTTGGTTTGATAGAACTCAACTGGACTACATAAACGACTAGGAGGGCGCTAGGGAAACAATCGGTCGATAATCCGGAAATGTGGGGCGTTTCGAAACAAGCTAAAAAAAGACACATTTCAGAAACGGGTTTTCTTATATATTCTAAGCGGCCGCGCTGAATGGCGTGTAAAATTAATATTGAACATCATAACTGATTGAAATTGTTTAGGGGAAATCGTGGTCGGCGGTTTGATAGAACATTTTTGTTAATTTTGAACAAATTCCAAAAATTGCTTGTAGCTGGTTTGCAAAACACGCGCCTTCCGTGTGAAATTATCGTTTTCAAAAATGTATAAAACCGGTGTCGTTCGGTTAGAAATTCGCGTGGAGTCGATAAAAATACCAGCGCACATAGATAATGAATTTTTATCCTTATTATTTCCGGGCAATACTTGCATTCGTAATCATCGTTTTTACTCGACTGTCGGAAGCTGTTCGGGCCGTGTTATCGTTATCGAACGGGCAACAGAGCAGTCCGTGGGAAAACGCCGGCTATCGGATTTCATGGGAATCGATCTGCGACGGTTTTTTGGGACACCGCCATTTAATTTGTCAGTGATTATTTCTTTTTTTTTTTCGTTGTTAATTTTATACTTCATTAGTTTGTTTTCGAGCGCACAGTAAAATACAAATACATACAGCGCTAGTCGGCTAGTTTTTCGATATACATAGCTGTTGGCACCGCGTTTCGACCGGTTTGCTACTTGCCGCCGCCGCCGCGCCGTTCACCTGCGTCGTCCAGTCGCCGGAATGACCCCGAACAACAGTAACGATAATATAATTAGCATAAAGACAGTGTCATCCGCGCGGTTGACTCGTCCACGGCATAATATATATATATTAATAATAATATTAATGTGTACACAAACAAAGAGGGCGGTAACGCTGTGAAAAATCGGACGGCGTAGGCGCTTTTCTCCGGTCGACTTTTCCCAAGCGATTTGTCTTTGCCTCTTTCATACCGCTGTGTTTCAGCTTGCGGTTCAAAAGCATAGCTCGGCTCGACACAAAAACTACACATTAGGCGAAACCGGGCAATGACAAAGTCTTTTCCCCAAAGACACTCCTAGTAACGGCACGTTGACGTTATTTCGTTTGGGTAAAGGGTGACTATTTTTGTTTTGTTTTTTTGCTTTTTCGAGGTCGACGTTTCCACGGTCGATGGTCTTATTAGAAAACATAAACTATTATTAGTATAGGCCAAAGAGTTGATGGACGAGCTCGACGCGTTTGTCGGATATCTCTTTCAGCGACCGAACGTTTGCATAATATAATACAACACAGCGGGCCCGAGTCGTTATATATTATTATTATTATATTAAGCCGTTCGTATTGTATACCCGTCTCTTCCCTCTCGGACCGCCCCTTTTCACCATTCTCGCGTGTGTGTGTGTGTGTGATGTGCTCTACAACAAGTCATGACGTACAGCAGAGCACTGTACTTATATATTTATAATAAGACACCATCACGTACATAGTGCTAACGGTCCGACAGAAATACATAATATATCCAATTCGACTCACCGCCGATCCGGGTTTTTATTTGCGATAATCGTGACCGGAGAATAATATATGATATATCATTTTTTTTTTTTTTTAAATACTCGTCCGACACCCGTCTAACGGATAAACGGCTCGCACGTCTTCTTTGATACCATCATCTCGACCGTATATTATTATGCATTCATATTATTATTATCATTATTGCAGTGGACGGTTTAAAACGCGCGCGCGCACCCGCGTGTGAAACCGTCTGCAGTTTTTCCGTTCTGTGAATTGGCAAATCGATTAAAATACCGATTTTACGGTGTTTTAATCCCATATCGTTTTGTGTGCCGGTACGGCCCGACATCATCGCCTACACATAACGTTTTTTTAATATACATTTTTTTTGTAAAGCCGGCGACACAGTGTGTAAACGATGCAGATCAGCCGGTGGATACGCTTTTTTTTTATGACAACGCAACGTAAACTTCGCGTTTTCGACGTTCACGTCAACCTAAACGAATCCGAAAGACTTTCCAACGGACAATTTAAAAACATTAGGATTTTCTGAATTTTTTGTTGAACTTTGCTGATAATCAATCAGCCGTTTGGAGTTTTTTTATTATTGCTCGGCTTATAGATAATGTATAGTAACTGATGAGATGTCTGATTGGTCGCATCTGTTGTAACCGTTTAAGACCAGACCCTACTATAACTCGTTTATGATGTTGTCAACCTAACCTGAAGTTAATTTTGTTATTTCCTGCCTACAGGTTTCCGGGGTAAAAACTGCGAGGAAAATATCGACGATTGTATACCCCACGCTTGCCTGAACGGTGGGACTTGCGTGGACGGCGTTAACGCTTACACGTGCTCTTGCCCGCAGCAATGGACCGGCGAGTCCTGCGAATCCGACGTGGACGAGTGCGCTATGCGACCCAGCGTCTGTCACAACGGAGCCACGTGCACCAACTCTTTGGGCTCTTACAATTGCATATGCGTCAACGGCTGGACCGGCCAGGACTGTTCGGTGAACATCGACGATTGTGCCGGAGCTGCTTGTTTCAACGGCGCCACTTGTATCGACAGAGTAGGAAGTTTCCACTGCCAGTGCACTCACGGCAAGACCGGTAAGTACCCACTTATACTTTTGAATTTCCAGTAGATCCATTTGTCGTTGAGCATTCAAAATAGATTCTTCCTCAATGGGAGGACCAAAACTCTTTTTGACTTTCATCGGAAATTTAGCTGGTTCCATAATCTTTTCTATCTTTTTTGACGAAGATCTTTCTTTGCCTTACTCTCTTCTTAAGTCCATCTTCCAAAAGCGGAAGTTTGGTGACCCATCAGTTGACATTGGCAACAATCTCTTTCCAAAGCTCACGGTTTTCTGCCGATCGAATGGCCTCTCCCAGGGAATAGCCAGTGATGGCCTTGATCGGGTCTAACCAACGCATTGGTGTTCTTTCAAGGCTTCTTTTCCCTTCTACTTTTCCTTCGATCATCAGCTTCTCCAGGCTCGATCCATCCCTTCTTATGATGTGGCCAAAGAATCTCAGGATCCTCTGCTTACACACAACTGCCAGTCTTGTTTCCACATTTAGCATGGCCAGAATTGAGAAGTTGGTCCTCCTTTCCACCCAAGAGATTCTCAGCATCCGTCTGTAGGCCCACATCTCAAAGGCGTTTATGCGCTTTACATCTTCTACTTTGAGTGTCCATGTTTCAGATACTTTGTCTTACACTTATGCAAAACCAAATATTTTCTCACAATTTCTATAAACACTTTTTCCGGCCTTTTTTGCTTGGCTGCGACATTTTATCTAATCCATTTTTCAGGTCTGCTCTGCCACTTGGATGACGCCTGCACGTCGAACCCTTGTCACGCTGACGCCATATGCGACACCAGCCCGATCAACGGCTCGTACACTTGTTCGTGTGCGTCTGGCTACAAAGGAATCGACTGCTCGGAGGACATCAACGAATGCGAACAAGGTACGTACACAAAATATGCTCACATCTTTACAATATAATATATATATATATATATTATGTATAAACATAATAGTGCATATTATTATTATGCGTACGCCGCGGATAATAATAAGACCCGAAAAAATCACCAACAATATAATATTATATATAACGGCGTTTCCCACACTATCGCGTTTCTTCTGCGGTACAAAAACCACACACGCGCCGCCGTGTTTCGGCAGAGGATATAATAATCTTGTACGTATATACATATTTGTATGAACAGTGAGAGGAATACGGGAAGAGGGGAAGTCGGGGGAGGGAAGAGGGCGGCGGGCTACTATATAGGTTTTCTTCTTCTTATTCTTGTAATTCACACCGTAGGGCTGTACATACATGTATATTATATTATATCCGCCGAACAATGGGGCCCGCCGGCTTCCTGTTCCCATGCACCGTGTGTGTTTGTGTGCATGTTATCCGATTATGGGGGATAAGGGTGTATAGGAGAGATGGTTATCTTGTAAGATAACAACACTGCGGACGACACGGGCGAAGACGGGTAATTAAAAAAATCGCCATTACGTGCGTACGGGTTTCGCGAAACAAGCCGTTCTTACGCCACTGTCTTGACTTGTGACACTGTGTATTTTTCATTTTTTTTTCTGCTGTCGTCTCAGTAGTCTTAGTAATAATACGTTACATATAGTAATAGATAGTGTGGACGACTGGCGCGTGTTAGCGTGTTCGAGATAAAAAAAAAAGAAGAGATACAGTAGGGTGTACACGGGTTTTTATATCTTTCCGGTCAAGACTTCCTCGGTTGTAAAAAGAGTGGAAAAAAAGTCTCCATATTCTATAAATCGGTAGCGGTCGTCGCGAAGATCTTTATCTGGCCGAGAGGAGTGTACCCGTGTATATTACATTATAATGTACCGTGTGGGCACACGATTCGTATGTAATTCCTTGCCGGACCTCGGTCATCGAGATGTATAATACGCGGAGAGGATACCTGGGAGACTAAACTGTAGAGATAGAGAGAGAGAGAGAGATAGTGAAATATTATGCTCGTGTATGGACCGGGCAGGGCGCGCATAAATCGTGGCCGAGGATGGATTACATTTCGTTTGAAGCGTTGTAATTAAGACGTAGTCATCTTTTTAAATTGTCAAGACAAACGCCACACGCCTTCCGTTAACGAGTCAATTAAAAATCGTAATAGATTTCTACCGGCCGACAGTTTTTCATCCATCTCACGGAGTTGGTGTTGCATTTGAAATACTACTGTGTGTATATAAGCTTCATACATATTATGAATTACACAACTGCTTAGAGGAGATAGCTTTCACACGAACGTGGGTTTTTTTAAATTATTCATATGTTCAACTCTCGCCGTCGCGTCGTCGTTAACGCCACAAGAACTTTATGTGTGTATTATTATATTATAAATGTATATTAATTGTTGTTTTAATTTGCTCATTTCAGGATCGCCGTGCGAACACGACGGAGTGTGCGTCAACACGCCCGGGTCGTTTGCCTGCAATTGCCCACAAGGATTCACGGGGCCTCGGTGCGAGACCAACGTCAACGAGTGCGATTCCCATCCGTGCAAAAATGAAGGGTCCTGTCTCGACGATCCCGGCACCTTCCGATGCGTTTGCATGCCAGGTAAATAAACGTTACGGCTAAATTTCACCTTACTTTTGCCGAGTAAAACGTCTTAGCCGTGTTAGAAATAGAGAGAGTAGGTTTTGATGGATGCTCGAGTTTGGTAGCGCAGTGTGGTCAAGTACTCTTTCTACATTCCCTTCCGAGCATTCTAAATCGATAACAATAGTATCTGCATTGTAATCTTATAGGCGTTTTCAAGCGATTTTCGCTCGTTTTTATTTCAATATCTCTTTGAAAAATTAACGATAACGTTACTGCAGCTCTAATCGGTTTGACCCGGCGGGACTTTTGTGGATTGCTGGCCGGAAGGGACTGCTGCTGACTTGGCTTATGCGGTCTGTACGTCAAATAGAGATAGGATATACAGCGTTCTCGTGTAGGACGTTTCCGTGATCGGGTCTCCCGTAGCGAGGGGGTCGGCACGTCGTTGTGTCGAACTCGGTTTTCCGTTTCGGTCGAGTGCCGACGCGTCCGTCAAACGGGTATCGCGGCTGTCAGACAGGGTTACAGCCACGGCTAGCGCGGTCGCTGTGTATAGTCTGAGCAGGATCCAAGGTATGGTATAGGTTAGGTAGTATACCGTGAGCGTAGAAATAAAAAAAAAATAATAGAAAAAAACCGGCGCAATATATAATATATAAAAGCTCGCCGTCGGCCGTCGTCGTTCTCTACTTGTTTTATCCGGCTGAGATCTCGCGTGATCTTGTATTATACACGGCTCGGAAGATCCGGATGGTCAGATAAACGAATCCTAAGAAATGGTCGTTCGCCCGTATAATGTACCCGTGTTCAGTCCGCCAACAGTATCTGTTCAACTATCGAACCCCGTACGCGAGCAGAGAGCGCCTAAAACCGATTGAATCGATATGAATGCGCCCCGTTGAATGGCGCGCAGTCATACTCTGTGAATTGACCTGGACGCACGGGGATCTTCCTCTAAAAAGAAATTATCTTTCGACCGGAAATCGAAGCGACCTGACCTGATTACCGCAAAGATCCTTTGGCATCTGGCATTTGGTTTTTTGTTAAGTTCTCGTTTAGTCAATCATCAATCGGACTTTGCATTAGTTTGACAGAGGACAATCATTTTTGGCGAGTATTGCCAAGACAATGTTTAGCTTGGGATACCACTAGACTCGGCTGTCGTCGGTTTTTTCGAGAGTATTCTGCCAATATCAAACGACCGGTCCATTAAATATAGTATAATAAATTATTATTTTTACTTTGAAAGGGAAACCGATCGCGTTTTCAAAGGCGACCGGCACTCGTGGCAAACTGTCTTCGATGGTGGTGTTTGTCGCTAAGATTTACGGTCCATTGTACATTGTGCGTTGGTTTTGAATCGAACCGGCCGGTGATAACAGACATGTCGTGTAGGTATACACATATACACAAGAGATAGGCAAACGGCGGCGGCGGCGACAATAATACCTACCGTAGGAGGAGAGATTGCCATCGCTAATGGGTAGTAAAGTTCTCCTTTATTGGCGTAATACCGGGTGCCTCATTAACTGGATAGTATCGCCGCTGCGTTTGTATATTGTTTATTTGTTATCTTCGGGGAGGATGTCCCTCGCTACGGCCGCCATTGCTTTTTCTCCTAGTTGTGACCGGGTGCGGCCGCCATAAAAATAAAAAATTATTAAAAAAAAAATCTTCCTCCGGAATGTCTGCGTATGTAGAAGAAAAAAAACACTTTTATCTGTTTTGTTCGCCACCAACATCATCACCACATATAATAATAACAATAATAATATACATGTACATACAATGCGCCATTGTTCTGGTGAAATGGCCGCAGTCGTTTTATGCGTGTAGCTTTTTTTTTACTTATAGGTTTCTTTTTTTTTTTTCTAACTTTTTTTACTTATGTCTCCTCGGCAGCGAGCCCATATGTATGTACAAGATAATATTATATAGATAGGTACCGTTTCGCTTTGACCCTAATCTATTATCGCCGTTGTGTGTTGTCGTACAAAACCATCACGCCCACGCCGCTTGTGCTACGGGAGAGCGGCTCCCAGCGATGACTAACGAATGCGCTCGTTACTGTTTATTGAATGTTGTTCTTGTTGTTAGTGTGTTATTGTTATTGTCGTCGAGGTCGTGTATAAATGTGTAATGATCTAGCGGAATAAGACCCGAATGACCCTACAATTATTATTATTATTTGAGCTGCGAATTTCTGAGATTTTGTTCCCTCCCGATCCTGTCAACAATCCGTTTGACCATCTTCTGTCGGGTCCGTGTGTGTGTGTGTGTGTGCTTGTTAGTTTTTTATTACACACATTTTTTATCGATGCTCGACGAAACGGCATTGATGAAATAAAAATGTTGTGCAGACGGTCTGAGATTCCGCGCTATGTGATGTTCGACCTAACCTGAGGCCATTGGATTGGCCCGCATGGACGCTTCTCGCGTGTTGTTATTATACGATAATATAATGATTTGTTTTCGTGTAAGCGAGATTGTTGCTTGTCATTTCGACCCAAACGATAAAAAAAAACACACACAACATAACATTACAACAACAGCTGCTACTTGGGTTCGACGTTTTCAATTTTTCTTATTGCCACATCCGTGCAGATTTTATAGCCCATATAGCTGGTACTATTCTCGTTACAATACTATCTTTAACCCGTCCCTTGAACCGTTTGTGCCACCGACTCGAGTCGTAAACTAGCGAACCGCTGCCCGCGGTATTAACCATGACCGTGGTTGTGTGTCAAATGGCGATAAGACAGCAAAAAACTATCGATCGAGGCAAGCTCATTTCAGCTGTGTACACGTTTATCTCGCACATTGTCTTTCTAATAAAAAGGTCTTATTGCGGTCGTGTGTCCGTTTTGTATTAAATATGATGGTATTTTTAATCACTACCATACGGCGGTCACACGTTCTTCAGAATAATAAAATACATACGCTATTGAGTTTTCACTAGAGCGGAGAGACGGCGGCGCTAACGATTAGCCGTGTCGTTTCCAATACCGCGGTTTGCGCCGGTCGTTGTTCGGACCATGTCTGTCACGTACCTTTCAAAGGTAAAAAGAGGTATGTCTTCAGTATGCTGCGCGCATCGTCCGAAGAACAACACTAACTGGTTCGGTCCCACACATTATGGTCCTCCGTGCCCCGCACCTGCATATAATATAACCTTAAAGGGTTATAGGACGTGTAGTGTGGAAGCTGCAGAGAACGTTATGGAGAATAATAAAAAAAAAACAACCGAACCGACCGGATTCCGCAATGACCTTTTCCCCCTACACCTGTGTGTACGGTATTGCATTTACCGTGTCGGCCAATAAGTAAATTCTACAAATCCACGGATATGAGAGACAACAGGACGCGTTACATTGCCTTTTTCATAAGTCGCATCGCGCGCGCTTTCCTCTCGTCGTCCACGTTGTTGATTGACATGCGGGCAAAACTGGTCCTTGGATATTTTTTTTTCTACCTAGACCAGAGACCGGCACCGGATGATGATGATGCCACCACATCTCGTATCGACCTGCTCTGGCTGGAAAACGGGACGGAAACGCACACTCCTTTCGTGTCCTTTCTTGTATAGTTTAACATAATTCTTACATATTATAGTACCCGCATGTACATGATGTACACTGGTACTATATGTGTGTATTCTCTGTTCATAAATTTTAACGCACAGAACTCGTGTATGCGACGCGATATAGGCGTTATTTACACCTCGCACTGTCCGACGATATATATCATTCGGTCGGACACTTATCTTCGGCATTTCTATCTCTCTCTCTCTCTCTCTGCCTCTGTCTCGCAATCTCGTTTCTCCGATAATATGCTATACAACCGAAATGCATTAGATAATATATGTATTTCTGCGATCCAATGCACCGAGCAGTCACAAGTGTCTGTTGTAAAATATATTTATACGATTATGTATTTGACACTTGCCAACGTGCCGCGACCAAGAAACAAAATATTATGTTGTAATCAGCCGCGGCTAGCCGTGTCGTTTGGCACGATCATGAGCTTTTTTTCGTGTCGTTGTTCTTGTGGTTGTCATGTCGTCTGCACACACACACACACACACACACACGTCTAAGATAGGTAGGATACACGACTTTATTTTATTATTTATTGCACAGCTGAGACATTACCGGCAATAACAATATTGTTAACCTGTGTCTCTTCGTGGACGCCGCCGTGTACCGTCGAAGAAGAAAAACTGGTAGAGATAATAAAAAAGTTGACGCAATTTCTTTGGATGAAAAATTGATAGTTCCAGAGTTGGCGAAAAAAACAGCGAGTTTTTTTTTTGGTTTTAGTCGAGGAAATGTTTAGTATAAAATGTGTCAAGTATATGACTGCTATAGGGTTCTACTACCTACATGCCGCGCCGATATAAGGTTTGAAAAAGTTAACATTCTTCAGCTTTTATAGCTGATATAATTGTATTTCCCTTGGCCGTTTAATTAAATTCTTGTACCGATATTGTAGTCTCGGCTGAGGTTAAATGCGGATTATCAAGGAAAAAACCAGTTCGAAAAAAACATCATATACTCGACAAATGTGGACGTCCCGGACCGTTTTCCTTCAGCTGCTTTGCTAGCTAGGCTGTATCTATTTACTGTGCATTCGGTCTAGTCAAAACTTGTGATACAAATACACATAATTTGTGCCGCGTAACGTGTTTTGTTTGATTTTTTCAAACGTTCCCACCGTTGTGTTTTATATTTAGCCAACACGAGGCTTACATATTTATTTTTCTTTAACACTTCTAGATTACGGTTTAAAAAACGATATCCAGTTCTAAATAATACGAGACCGTTAAACGAACAGATGGCATCACATTTGGTTTGTCCGGGCCCATGACGGTTTCCTCTTTAAATCATTTCCAACTGTAACACATAAACAACGGGAAGACGTTAAAATCTGAATATGACATATCTTTCTTGTTTTTTTTTTAAAAAATATATATCGGATTCGGTTAGTTAACCGGTCTGTTAAAATTTCGCATTCAGACAGTTATCGTTTAAGACTTAATGCGTTTAATTCCACACGAATTCGTTTTAAAATATTACATCAAGTGGTGACAATAATAAAACTGCCAATCATTAGCCCAAATGTGTTACTACTGACTTTGTCAAGTTGAGTTTGGACATCGTCCACACGTCTGTCAACGATACTTGCAATAGTCATTATTAGACTAAATCTAATGTCATTTAGTCGATCCTGTGAGAATTTTTTTTTTTAGTATTTATTAGTTGTTTTATAAAAAAAAAACGTATATTTTCTATACCCGTTGTGCCGTAATGCAGGCCATTGTTAGCCACGTCGGATGAATTAATATGTGCACGGCGTATACCGCAGGGACATAATATAAATTTACAAGTCGACGGATTCGGTCATTGTTGTTAACTTAACGTGAACGTGCGCAATCCTTGTCTCGTCCAAACTTGGAGACAGATAGTCTCGGTCGCACGTTGATCGACGACGATTCTCTAAGTTATTCGATCTATAATTAATTTCAGTGCGAGCGCGATTAAGAAACCAGATTGTCAACCTTTAATTACCTAACGTGGAACTGGATCCCGTCGGTTCCTTGAAATTATTCATTTCCCACACGCTCTCACGCGCCAATTTTGCGATTCGCACACCTGTTACGACGGTTATAATATTATGTGACCCGCATTGGTAATCTGGAACGCGCACGTTCGCTGTAATTAGCATTTGTTTAACATTATTTGCCGTGACACGACGGTATAAAAAATATGATTGTATTGCCTACGCTTTAGCTTATCGTCGACTGTGATGTAACGAGTTGGACCTTTTTTTTTTTGTTTCAATCAACAGGTTTTGCCGGTACACAATGCGAAATCGACGTGGACGAATGCGAAGCCGAACCTTGCGAAAACGGCGGCCTTTGCACGGACATGATCAACGGGTACAAATGTTCCTGCCCCGCAGGGTTTTCCGGTCCACGGTGCCAGACCAACATCGACGACTGCGTAAGCAACCCTTGCCGTCACGGCGGCATCTGCCACGACTCCATCGCCGGTTACCAGTGCGAGTGCTCGCCGGGTTTCACCGGTTTCAATTGCGAACACAACATCAACGACTGTCTGTCGAACCCTTGCAAGCACGGCGAATGCATCGACGGACAGAACTCGTTCACTTGTTCCTGTCATCCCGGCTACACGGGACTACTGTGCCAGGACCAGCTGGACGAATGCGCGTCCGCCCCTTGTCAACACGGTGGTTCCTGCGAGGATTTGATCAACGGCTATCAGTGTCGGTGCCGAGCCGGCACGTCCGGACCCAACTGCGAGATAAACATCAACGAGTGCGTGTCCAACCCGTGCCGGAACGGAGCCAAGTGCATCGACGGCATCAACAAGTACTCTTGCGATTGCCTTGCCGGTTTCACCGGTTTGCACTGCGAGATGAACGTGGACGAGTGCGCCAGCAGTCCTTGCGCCAACGGTGGAAGTTGCGTGGACCTCGTGGCCGGTTGGCGGTGTGAATGCCCTCGCGGATACTACGGGCCCCGGTGCCTGTCCGATATCGACGAATGCGCCAGCAACCCTTGTTCCCTGAACGCTCTCCGCTGTGAAGACGGGCTCAACCAGTTCATATGCCACTGCCGGCCGGGATACACGGGAAAACGGTGCGAGTTCGACATCGACGAGTGCAGTTCCAATCCTTGCCAACACGGCGGAGTTTGCACGGACCGGGTGAACGGATATACGTGCCAGTGCAAACCCGGATACTCGGGACACAACTGCGACATTAATATTGATGACTGCGCGGTCAACCCGTGTAAGAACGGCGGCTCTTGTATAGATTTGGTGAACGCCTACAAGTGTGTATGCCAATTGCCGTTTACGGGCCCGGAATGCCAAAGCCGTTTGGACCCGTGCACTCCAAACAGGTATGTGTTTCGTAGTCGTTAACATTATGACGTGTGTTGTTTCCAACTACTTTACCACCATTAATATCAACATGTTCTTTCCAGATGTCGGAACGGAGCCAAGTGTTCGCCATCGAGCAATTATTTAGATTTTACCTGCGAGTGCTCCATCGGTTGGAAAGGCCGCTTGTGCAACGAAGACGTGGACGAATGCGCTCTGACGGCACCGTGTCGAAACGGTGCAACTTGCATTAACACCGACGGGTCATACAAGTGCGCTTGCGCTCCAGGATTCCAGGGCCGAGACTGCGTCATCAACACGGACGAGTGTGCCTCATGTGAGTATACCATACGGTTTATTCATCGCAAGTTTCCCATTTCTAATTGTTATCTATTATATTTTCAGCTCCTTGTCAAAACGGAGCCACTTGTTTGGACGGAATCGGCGATTACACTTGCATGTGTTCGGACGGATTTTCGGGTAGACATTGCGAGGTGGACATCGACGAATGCGTGTCTCAACCATGTCTGAATGGAGCTACATGCAAGCAATATGTCAACTCGTATACTTGCACGTGCCCGATAGGATTTTCTGGCATTCATTGCCAGACCAACGACCAAGACTGTACCGATTCGTCGTGTATGAACGGCGGCTCTTGCGTAGATGGCATCAACAACTATACCTGCATTTGCCCGTCTGGGTATGTGCATATTGAATTTTTTTTTCATTACACACGTCCTTATACAGATTTATTCATTATTTTTTGTTTACTCCATAGATACAACGGTCTCAACTGTCAAACACGAATAAACGAATGTGATTCATCACCTTGCGAAAACAGCGGTACTTGTTTGGATCACGGCAAATATTACACGTGCCATTGTGCGTATGGATACACGGGCAAAAACTGTGAATCACTGGTGGACTGGTGTGGCGGCGGCGGCGGAATACCGGATCCCTGCGAAAACGGAGCTACCTGCAAGCAAATGCAAAACACCTACCAGTGTGTGTGTCAACCTGGTTGGACTGGTAAAGTATGCGACGTGGAAATGGTGTCGTGCAAAGACGCCGCTCTGCGGAAGGGCGTTCGACGTGACGCCCTGTGCCATAACAGCGGAGTTTGCGAGGATATCGGCAACAGTCACCGCTGTCATTGCGCTGATGGTTACGCTGGAAGTTACTGTACGAAAGAGATCAACGAATGCGATTCTGCTCCTTGCCAAAACGGAGCCACGTGCAGAGATTTAGTCGCAGGATATTCATGCCAGTGCCCGCGTGGTTTCCAAGGACAAAATTGCGAACTCAACGTGGACGACTGTCACCCGAACCCGTGTCAAAACGGTGGAACTTGTAGAGATTTGATTAACGGCTTTAGTTGTTCTTGTCCGCCGGGCACTTTGGGTATAATTTGTGACATAAACATTGACGACTGTTCGCCCGACGCCTGCCACAACAACGGTACTTGCATTGATCGGGTCGGAGGATTTGATTGCCGGTGCCCTGCTGGTTTTGTGGGCCATCGGTGCGAAGGCGACATAAACGAATGTTTGTCTAACCCGTGTGACCCGTTCGGTACGTTGGACTGCGTACAGCTGGTGAACAACTATCATTGTAATTGCCGCGGAGGTTACATGGGAAGACATTGCGAAATGAAGGTGAACTTCTGTGAAAGCAGTCCTTGCCAAAACGGCGGCGTGTGCACTCAAGTGGAAGGCGGTCACACGTGCGCTTGCCCGAAAGAGTTTTCTGGTAGAAACTGCGAGTTCTTCGGCGTCGACTGCGATTCGAGTCCATGTCAAGGCGACGGGATATGCCACTCACTGGAACACGGAGGATATCGTTGTGAGTGTCCACCGGGCACCACGGGTTCTCACTGTGAAATCGACAGCTACAACGAATGTGAGAGTAACCCGTGTGAACACGATGGCACGTGTCAGAATAAGCTCGGAGATTACGCTTGCTTCTGTCCACAATACTGGTCCGGGAAGAACTGCAACATGTACGATTCAAAGTTCAAAGGCGGTCTTGGTAAATTCCCGTCCAAAGGCATTATGACGAAGAAAGACTACGATTGGGAACGCGAGTTGGCCGCGTGCGTTACAAACGGGTGTCAGGCCAAATCTCAGGACAACAGATGCCACCCAGAGTGCAATACTGCTGCGTGCGATTTCGACGGTGGCGACTGTTCGCTTGGATTGAACCCGTGGAGAAACTGTACTGCAACTAAGAACTGCTGGCAAGTATTCGCCGACGGACACTGTGATGTTGACTGTAACACGCCCGAATGTCTTTACGACGGTAGAGACTGTGAACGTATTCTTCAGCCTTGCAAGTAAGTGTATACATTTGTGAATGGTCTGAGCGGATATCATTTTAACATATTATATTTCTAACACGTTTCTGCTTAATTTCCAGTCCCATATACGACGCTTATTGTCAAAGTCATTATGCCGATGGTCACTGCGATTATGGATGTAACAACGCTGAATGTAACTGGGACGGTTTGGATTGTGAAATGAAACCGCCCAAACTGGCCGAAGGCTCTATTCGTTTAGTTCTCAGGATGGACTATCACCAACTCCTATCAAATATAACGTCGTTTTTGCGTGATGTACGTTTCCTTTTTTTCGTGTTATTTGTCATACCAGAAACTAACCGGTTATTTTTATTTAAATTTCTCTAGGTCGGTAGAGAATTACGAGCCACCGTTCGCGTGAAGCAAGACGATTTGACCAACAAACAGATGATTTTCCCTGCGGAGTCTCCACCCGGAGCCGTTGTAGTCTATTTGGAAATCGATAACAGAAAATGCGAAATCACCAGAGACGTTGAATGTTTTTCGAGCGCCACAGGGGTAAGTGTTATACAGAAGAATATTTGTCATATCTTAAATGATTGGTGAACTCGATTAACTAATTAATTAAAATCGTTTACTATAGGCTGCGGGATTCTTAGCCGCCTCGGCAGCAAGTCACGCTTTGTCGACTTCATTCCCCATTTACAGAGCAGAGGGTGTCGGACCAGGAAGTCAAATACCGATAGAACAGCCAAGAAGCAGCACAGCTTTAGTTCTGACCGGAATGTTCTTAATACTAGTAGTCGGACTCAGTCTCGGCGTGTTGATATCTACTCATCGTAAAAAGGCCGCAGGCATTACATGGTTCCCAGAAGGATTCTTGCGGACCGGAAGCAACAATAGTAGGACTAGTACGCAAAGGCGCGTTCCCGACGGCCAAGAGCTGCGGACTATGAAACAGAACAACATGACGCTTAGTTGTATGGATATGAGCAACGGCGGAATGACAATGGGCAGAGGCGCAGGCGCTTGGTCGGACGAAGACGCCGAGGGCGATATGCCGCCAGCCAAAAGACACAGGCCCGCTCCTATAATATCATCACAGCCGCTGGACAACCCTTACGACGACGTTTGGAGTCATTGTAATTTGAATTCGAACGATAACAAAGCGACGGTTATGTACACTCCGCCGTCGAGGGTAAGTTATCAATAATTAATTTCATTGAAAAGAATATTGTGGTTTTATTGTGTTTACGTTTTTGACACAATTTGTTCGTTATAGGAAACCGAAGTCAACGAAAGACTGCCAGGCGGTTTGACCAGACTAATGGACGTGACGGTCGCGGGATGTGCCGGACTGGACACGAGCATTGACAACGAGGACGAAGACGGACAAGATGCTACTACTAACATGATATCCGAATTGGTTTCTCAGGGGGCCGAACTGAACGCTACTCTGGACAAGACCGGAGAGACCTCGTTACATTTGGCCGCGAGATACGCTCGAGCGGACGCTGCCAAGCGACTCTTGGACATGGGCGCCGACGTTAACTTCCAAGACAAAACTGGCCGAACTCCTTTGCACGCAGCCGTAGCGGCAGACGCCATGGGCGCATTCCAGGTAAGTTTTGTAGAAAACCAGTTGGAAGTTACTTTTAACCGTTCGCTAACCGTTTGTTTATCTTTGTTCGTTTGCAGATACTGTTGAGAAACCGGTCGACAAATCTAAACGCCAGAATGCACGACGGCACCACTCCTCTGATATTGGCTGCCAGGCTGGCCATCGAAGGAATGGTCGAGGATTTGATACACGCCGACGCCGACATCAATATACCGGACAACAGCGGCAAGACGGCGTTGCATTGGGCGGCGTCCGTCAACAACGTAGACGCTGTCAACATACTGTTGGCCAACAACGCCAACAAGGACGCTCAAGACGATAAGGTAAATGAATCAAACAACTAGCTTGGGATCGCATTTTACATAGTTGTGTGTGTTTGACCGTGACTAACATATCGTTTGTGTGTGTATTCAGGACGAAACGCCGTTGTTCTTGGCCGCCAGAGAGGGAAGTTACGAAGCGTGCAAAGCCCTGTTGGACAATTTCGCCAACCGTGAAATCGCCGACCACATGGAACGGTTACCCAGAGACGTGGCCAGCGAACGGCTGCACCACGACATCATACGGCTGTTGGACTCGCACGTGGCGCATCCCAACGCCCAAACCATGTTGCCGGTCAACAACAACTTCATGAGTAAGTCTCCGCGCAGCCGGATTCGGCCGCCAACCGGAACTGACCGAAACGTGGGTTTGTTTGCAGACTCGCAGCATATACTGACGCACTCCAACATCAACATCCCGGGCATCAAGCTGAACAACGGCGGCACGGCCAAGGGCAAGAAAAGGCCGAAACCGTCGAACCCGACCAGCCCGGCCGACTCGATCGACTCGAACGTGTCGCTCAAGCGCAAAGGCAGCGTCAAGAAACCGCCGCCTCCGCCACCACTGTCGTCGTCGGCAGCCGCGCCCAGCAACAAGAAACCGTTCGGCCTGGACGTGTGCGTCGGCCCCAACAACATGGACCTGATGGCTCTGGACGTGTCCAGGCTGTACGGCAACGGTCTGCCGTCCCAACCGCCGGCCTACGAGGAGTGTCTGGCCCAGCCCCAGCGGATGCCCAACTACGGTGCGTCAATGCATCACCAACAGCACCACCAGCAGCAACAGCAACAGCAGCAGCAACCCGACTACCGGACCATGCACCAGCAGTTGTTGGGCATGCAGACGTCGTTCCAAGAACCGTCGCCGCCGCACAGTGTGGTGATGTCGCCTTCGCCGGGCAAGACCAGACCGTCGTTGCCCACTTCGCCCACGCACATGCAAGCCCTGCGGCACGCCACCATGCAGGCTGTGGATCCGTTCAGTCAGTTCCATCACTTCTACGGCACGCAGCCGGCGTCGTTGCAACAACCCCCTGCGCTGCCGCAACACCCCCAACAGTACCTGACGCCACCCTCCGACGCGGCGCCCGAGAGTTTCCCAACCCCTTCGCCGGACTCACCTTGGCATTGGTCGTCGTCCTCGCCCAATTCCAACTCGGACTGGTCGGAAGGCATTTCGTCACCGCCGAACCACAACAACAACAACAACCATTCTAACAAAGTTTCCGATGCCGTCTACATCTGATCGTTGTGTCCATCGGTTAGCTTAAAATGTTTATTTTGTACATTGTATATAACCTTTCATATGTTGATTTGTGTATAATTTCGAGTCATGGAACGTCCAGAAAGAACAGTTGTCGATAATTGCACGGGTTCTTAATGAGGGATAGATTTCCAATACCCTTGGGAAAATCGGCGTAGACAGGATAAGATAATTTTCTCTCGTCTCTGGCTACACTGTACATTTGCCAACTGGAAAATGTGCAAATAATCAGTTTTTAATTATGGTCAATTTCTGCCCACACTGATTCGCTCGACAATTTTACTGATTATGTTTTCTCATAAATCGTTCTTTCTGGTTATTCTGTGATCAAGTTCTCGTACCCTCCCTCGCTCTCCCCACTTTTTTTTCTTGGTACATACTTAAGTTGTTTAAAATACAGATTTTATATACATATATATCTATATTTATAAATTTATTTTATTTTATTATATTATAATAATAATGATAATTATTATTATTATTTATATCTGTGTACCATTTTTCCCCCTATCAAACACCGCTCTACGTACCGCGTTCGTTACGGTGTCTACCAATCTTTACTATTTTATTATTACCCTCATTATGACTATTATTATATTATTATTATTATTATTATTATTATTACCTATTATTATTATTATTATTATTATTATTGCTACTTTTATTAATTTTTGTTCTTTTAATTTTGTCTCGTTGTCTTGTCGAGAAAATGACTCTATCGAACAATCTTAGAATAATCAACTAGACTTATTCGGTTGTAAAGCACAACGACAAGACTGCTAATAAATGTATATAATATATATATATATTTTTTTTTTTTGTACAAAATCTTTTTTTTTACTAAGGGATTGTTCGTTCACGATCTCAACACATGACATATTAGTTATAAAAAATATTATTGTTATTGAAATATTATTGTAAATTATTATTTTCTAGTAATTTTATGTTTTTTTTTTTTGTAAAATCAGGATAAATAAGATATTATCAGAAAAAAACAAATTGTAGTATTCCCTTGAAAAAATAATATTATTGTATTATTATTACTTTTAATATTGATTAATGGTTCTCTATAAAAAAAAATACAGTTGTATAAAAAACGGAGAGCATATTCGGTCCCAATAAATAAATTTGTGTTCTGTGATTCAAATTTAGTATAAATTCCATTGATCGACAGAGTCGATGATATATTTTGTCATATTATTTTGTTTATATATATTATGTACATGCTATAAGAATTTCTGAAAATAAATTATATGTTAAATATATATTTTACAATGATTATTTTTCTTTTTAAAAATCACTTTTTGTTTTACCTAACAATATCAAACTTTAGCATTTAAAATAGATGTTCCGATATGATTCTTCAAGAAGACAACAAAAAAAAATACTACTGAATGCATACAATTAAATACTGAACAAATAAAATATCAATTGGTCATTAAAAAAACTAGGTCATAAAATATTTAGGTAAAAATTTAACATTTGAATTATTGTCTAAGTATATTTATTCAATTTTTAGTCATCTACAAAATACAGCACTTGATAATTTTCAACAAAAAAAAATTCGACATACATTTTAAACAGAAAAATACGATAACTGTTGCGTTATATTAAATTTTATTTAATTAAAATTAATTCTTCGACAAATAATTTATAATTTTTAATATATATTATTGTAAGTAACTGTTGCTTAAGTACTATTTTGTTTACTTTATAAAATAATAACACTAATAAGCTTAATAAATATTTAAAAAAAAAATCAAATTTTCTCTAAACGATCAAAACCCAATAATTTGCTTAACATTTTAATTTATATCCTAACTACAAAATAGGAATAAATATGATATATTTTAATAAAAATGTACTAATTTTTTTTATTTAAATAAGAGTACATCAACTTATCTTTATCTGTTCTAGAAAAAATTTTCGTGGTCTGAATATATCACTGTAAGCAAGGAATAAGATGTATCAAAATATGCTTATAAATAAATATTATATTTTATTAGAAACATAGTTACTTATTATTATTCTAGTACCTAATCTTGGTTTCAATAATCATTTCAATAATACAGATTATATCTATGAAAAAATGATTTATAACAATTGTGTAGAACATATTATAGTATGGACAATAAAGCACATATTAGAAGTATGGAGACAAGAAAAAATTTAACCAAAAAGTATCATAAAGAATAGCAGTAACACCTTCTTGAAACGCTGTTAAAAAGTTTATTAAAACAATAGTTATACATTTTTATATCGAAAACCCTAAGATATATATTATGTAGTTAAAAAATATCTTTTTTTCATCAAGTATAAGGCACTGACTGCAAGGATCAATAGCCTACTAAAACATATTGTAAGTCACATTTTAACCGAAAAATACATATCTATTAATGATGTTTAGATACACATCAAAATCTTTTTTATGTCGACCTTATCGTCGATTTTTCTGTGTTATACATTTTTAATAAGCAATTGCCATTTTCATGGATGCCAAAAGCGGCCGTTTATTTTTCTTTTATTCGGTATTTATTAAAAAATACTGTTATTACAGTTTATAATTTATTGACATTAAATTTGTAACAACATCCTTTCATGAAGAAACATTACTGTCACACGCACCTTGAACACATTTTTTATTGCCCTATTCGAATATCAATTAGTATATATTAATTAATTGGTTTATAACGACTATAAATCATAAAGCAAAATGTTCGTTATTTAGGGCTTTTGCATGACGTCGTACTCACAAGCAAATAAATGTGTAAAATTATTCAAGGGTCTAAAAATACTCACAATATTTACATGTACATGTACACAAGTGTTCGGTTTACGCGTTAAAGTTTTAGATTAGTATTTTAAAGAGTAACCGCATTGTAGTGTTAACAAATATATTTATACAAGCTACTGAAATTCTCAACTTTAGCACATAGACCTTGTCTGAACTTGTTTTACAGTATTTTTTATATCCCGACCAGAAATATTACAATAATTACAGAAAAATAGTTAACTATATATTTCAATTACCTTACAAAACTTCCTTACAAACTGTTCATATAGTTTGTTATATTTGTTTAATTGTACTCCTAACAATTTGCCTTTTGTATGAATAATGCTGTAAATGTATGGGATTAACAAAATAAAAGTCTGAAGCACTTTTTGGATGTATTTCCATTTAAAACTTGTATAACATAATATTATAATTGACCAAATTTATACCGGGTGATCCATTCAACGTACGACTTATTTTCTCGGGAAATAATTACAATTACAATAATTACATTTTTTTAGTACTGGAAAGTACTAAAAAGTATGCTCTGGAAAGAGCATAACTTGGTGAAAATGTTGACTAGTCGTGTATTGAATAATAATATATTAATGAACAAAGTTTTGGACGGAGGGTGGTGTCAAGTATTATTGTTTTCTTTATTAAAATTATTCTCTTAAAAATTTCAATTTTTGTAGTTTATCAAAATCGGTTTAGACGTTTTTTAAAATGTTCGGATGACACACACACACTGCCATTTATAACGTTGAAAAAGTCAAGTAAAACAATTGTACAATTGGCGTTGGAATGTAATACATCTTCTCATATTAGAAAAACGGTTGAATATAAATCTTAAATAATAACTTATACTTCCGTTTTGTTGTAAACACATTGTACTTTGCTTAAATAACATTTTTGTTAATGTTACTTGACAATGTTCGTAGTACAATTTACAAATATTTACCATACTTATGTCTACTATTTTGATTTTTGACCCTTATGTATGTATAATATATAAGTTTTTGAATTTAGTTATTTGGAATTATGTGCTAGGTATTAACAATTTAGTTCAGTTAAAACATATTGTCAACTGTATGTGTCAGGTTGACAGGGGATACAATTTTTTATTATATTAAAGCAAAACATCCATAGTAACTGATATACTAACAGAATATTTCATTAAACAATTAAAACCATCAAAATCAACACTGATATATTATTATACAGACAACAAATAAAACTCGTCATTTTAAAACATATTTTTTATTAAAAGATTATTTGATTAAGAAACGACCATACGCATGTAACAAAATATCAAAAGTATGCTATAAAAAAAATTAACAGTTGTCAACGCCACAAGCCATGATTAAATATAGTTTGCACAGACAATAAATAAAACTAATTGTCACTGTAGAACTATATTTTTCATTAAAACTTTATTTGATTGAAAAAATATTGTATTTTTTTTTTTTACACGTTTTGATTTGTGTGGTAAGAAAATCGCTTTTTTTAATTCACTTGAAGTTTAAACGCGTATTTTTAAAGCTTTAAAGAAGAGCTCTAGAAAAGGAAATGAATGTGAAATACATTTTTCTTTTATGTTTCACAATACATTTCTTGGTAATTACAAATGTTGCTGGTGAGCCCAACCCAGAAAAACAGGTAAAAAAATCATGCAAACTGAAGAGAAGTGGTATTATTATAAATAATAATATATTATTCAAGTAATAGTTATTCGAATAATTTCCAAACATATTTGTAAATGCTTTTTAAAAGTAATTTTATTTTAAAACTCTATTTCGTACAAATATAATATATTATACTAAATTTACAAAATATATAAAACCAGTACATTATACAGACAATTTTTTTCCGAATATATTTTAAATATATGGTGGAAAAATTATTTGAATAATAATTTGCATAAATCTGATTGTAGGAAACCAGCGACATAGGCCATTTACTCTTCCTAACCATTTTTAATAATAAATGGTGTAATTTAAAAAAAAAATGTAAGAAGAACTTACTAAATGTACCCTTTTGTCTTACATATTTTATTTTGTTTTTAATACTTAAATAAATAATGATTATTATATTATTTTTGAATCAGTTACTTTGGTTAGTTTTCTATTTTGTATACATAAAAATGGGTAGTATGTTGTGTCATTTAAGACAACTAATGTAAAGGCAACTAGTTTTACTGTATTTTTTTTTTGTACAATAAAGTTATTTTTATAAAACGGAAACTTTGAACACTAATTAATTAATATGTTTTCATTAAACAATTGCCTTATTGATTTTTATTTGCACAAGGTAATCAAAGGCTTTTGATTAGATTTTTTTCTCTTCTTAAATTATCATGGTTAAAAACTATTTGAACGATTTTATAATTGAATATCATATTATTATAGAAAATTTTTAAAATTAAGTTCAGCTCTAAATTTAAAAACTGATTATTTAACTGACAAATATTTTGTTAATAGACTTTTGATAGATTTTTTGAAATGAAAAACAATAAATAATATTTAGATATAATTATTGATACAAAAAATTATTAGGATAACTGTCTGTAGTATTCTGATTATGTTTTATATGAATAACTTTTACACGCAAGATCAGCCGGAATATATTATTATCTTGGAAGATTTCAGGCCAATAGTTTCAATATTTTTCAGGTTATAGACGTAGTTTACGATGCAGCTATAAAGCATTTAGACCGCGGTTCACTTACTGCGGGTCAGTTGGTGAAAATGTTGGGGAGCAATGCATCATTATTAACGCAGTATTCGTCAGAAAAACGATTGTCTTCGAAGGAAACAGGTACGAAATAAAATATCGTTTCTAAGAAGAAACATTGTGTCGTTAGAGAACGTTAACATGGTCACATCAGAATATCAAAATATTAATAATATCAATTAGCATTTGTTAAGGTTATATTATTAAAACTAAATTGTTTACTAATAACATAACATACCTGTATTGAAAAATATACATTATAACGACTTAAAATATATAAAATTATCAATTTTTTGTTTTAGTAAACATAAGTCGAGATCTATTCGAGAAAATTGTGAAGTACGTAAGCGAAAAAACGGGCAAGACAGTATCAGAAGTTGTGTCATCATTCAAGTGACAGAATGATTCAATACGTTATGTATTACGGCTACTATTATTGTTAATACTATATTAGATAGTTGATAAATAAGTTAACATTCGGTTAAGTTGACATTATCAATCATCCAATATTTAACGTTCATTCTCATTTTCTATGTATTACAGATTTTTGGGAAATATTTTCATTGTGTGGTTATTATCTGGTATAATTTTTTTTGATCTTTAAATAATAAATAAACTGATTATCTTTAAAATTTTCTGTTACAAATTATGTTATTCACGGAGAAAAATGTATTTTATTTGTCAAATTAACTATTATTTAAATTTTCGCCGACTATGATTGATATTATACAATTTATTATTTCAGCCTGTAATTTTATACACCAATTACACATTTTTTTCAGGTATTCAAAAAATTATAAATCCAGTATAGGATTACTACCTACACCTACCAAGTCTATCCCTAGTCTATAGATAACTAGTCTATATATAACTAGATAAACATAATTTAATAAAAAAGTTATAGACAAATTAAGTCGCTTTCTGATTTTAAAAATGTATTCATTCGACTTTTTAATTAAACAATTTGTTTTCAAACAACAGTTTATATTTTTCATTTTGATTTTATTACAATTATTCATAATTGTATTTTATGCAATATTGTTAAATTTAACTTGCATTGTTACTATTCGTCAATATAATGATGTAGTAAATACATAAAGACACCAACTTCCAGAGTTAAAATATTTTTCTCTGTCTATAGTACATTAATATTTATTTTTATGCAGGCACGAATGAAATACAAATAAATTAATTCGTACATAGGTAAAAGAACAAACGACAGTTTATTGAAATAAACATACTAAGAATAATTGGTCTTGGTTGTTAAATTCAGAATAGATACAATTATAATCATATATTTTTTGACAAACCTGGGTTAACTGAATAATAATACTTATAAGTACACCAGTAGATTTTACAGTACAACGTTAATTTATATGTATATAAAATCAATATTCGAGACAGACATTTTTACTTCACTGAAGTTCTAACGAAAAACTAATTCATTATTATCATGACTGCGAATACGTTAAGTTTTTTTTACTATGATATTCGAAAAAATCAAACAAGACTTTGCCATTAGTAATCAGTTGGCAAAGTTAGAAATTGTAAAATTAATAAAATACAGCTTTCAATAATGTGCACGCTAAAATAGTGATGTGAATTCATACACAATATAGTTTTACATAGTTAAAATAATTATTAAAACGGTAAAAAAAACTGGGTTTTAATACCTTTTTTTAAGTAGCATTTTTAACACATTACTACTAAAACATTTAAACATTACAATTTTATAAAAAGAGACAAAAGTTATAATTCAATAATAAAGCAATATAGGTATTTAATTATAACAATTTATTAAAAATAGTATGAAATGGTTTAAAATGTGTGGTATTAAATGTTTTTAAAGTACCTAATTGAAACTCAAAATTTAACTTTTAAAACAAGTCTTGGTAATATCCAATTTTGGTTATAATTTTTCGAAAAGAAAAAAAATACAAAAAGTATGAAAATTGGGACCAGGTGAACCATATTTGGGTGGGACCATATTTCATGAAGGAAAATATATACTTTTACATAGAACAATATGGGAGTAAAAAATTTATTTAGTCGTGCAGTTCTTAGTTTTCTTTTGTGGGTAAAAAAAAATGTAGTGAGCCGAAAACATTGTGATTTTGGCTAAGTAGCCATTGTTGTTTCTTCTGTACCGTGGTAAGTGTTCAATGTGCTTACCATTTTATCAGGTATCTGTTAGTGGTTTTTTGTTAAAATCTATATACTTCTTAGTACAGTTCAGAGGAAGTTAAATAATCCTAATACATTTTAAAACGATAAAAAAATTATGTATTTTTTAAAAATGAACGTTTGCTAAAATTTATCATATATCGAAAGTAAACGAACGCGTATATTTTACAAGTTTATATTTTACATACTAAGTAAAATCGTTTTGGAATCATATTCATAGACATTTGAAATAATGCAAGAAACGATTTTGGAGACAAGACCTTTTTTTTTTAAGCTAATAAAAATATCATCGTAATCGCTTTTGGGCTTATAGTTTTCTTATACAGTAACTTATTTTAGAGCCTCTTGGGAATTGTTGCTGAATTATACAGTACGACTGAAAAGTGAAATTTATGCGATGCGATTAATTTGATAAGACTATTGTCGACGACAAGTTTGACGATTCGTCCCAACCTAAAGTTTTGGAACTCTATTTTGTGTAGTACATCAATTTTTTTTTTTAATTTTTATTGGACAATTGGTTGGCCGTAACTATATAACACTATAGCGTATTATAATATCAGCAGGATCATCTTTTGACATACACCGAAAAACTGCAGTAACACTGGCACCGGCGTAAATCATGTTTCGAGCGTGAGTGTTCTAAACAGATTAGTAAAATAAAAAATGCCTTTAAAAAAATACATAGTAAGAGCGGTGTTATTTATTAGTTATAATCAGTATTGATGTGGTCCGGAAGTCCGGTTTCAAGTGCGCACGGTGATTTCTTGCCTTTTCTTACAGCGTTGTCTGGCCAAATAGCACAGAGCTATCGTTATCAATATTATGATAGCTATGCTCATTCCAATGCTGATCCATATGACCTCTTCGTTGAAGCCACCCGACGCGTGTCCTGTACAAAAATAGACACAATTAAAATAACTGGTACCCGTGTTTAACATTTTCCCCAGTATTTTGGAAAGCTAAGAGTTCATTGTGTTATTGTTTCGCATCGACACATAAATCTTAGGATTATTTTTTTAAATTTATTTTAAGCTAAGAAATGCCATTTTCCCTCGAGAAACAACACCTATACACTTGTAAACAATGTGGCCTAACTGGCAAACAACGTCATACTTTTTCGAAGACCGATACTTAAAAAAAAATATTAACTTAATTCTTTTCTGAAAAAGCAGTGCGGATGAATCACATTGGGATCGGGGAGGACACGGGGTTTAAGTAATTAATATAACAAAAAAATAGAAAAACATTATTGTAAAAACAACATCTTCTCAGTTCTTCGTGGAAGTTAAAACAACAATTTTTACTATTATCTGTAAAACATAGTAAAACTTTGTACACATTTTTTCTTAATTCTGAGACTATTTGAGAGACAAATTATTTAATTTGTGTTTATTTCGAAATTATATATATACCATATATAATTGATATTTTTTTTTGGAATTTTTAGAGGCGAAAAAACAGGGTACTTTTTTAAAAAGAAAAATATGAGCAAAAAACTAAAGATAATATTATTTTAATTTGATAAATAAATATGTTCCAGAGTTATGATAAATAATAGTAGGTACCTACACACAAAAACGCACTTAAAGAGAGAGAGAGCCAATATTTCCGGTAAAATATTTTGTGTGGAGTTTTTGATAAATATCTAAAGTTGTGGAAAAGTTCAAACAGTTGTTGTATTAAGTATGGCATTCTTGTATTTGGATTTGTTTGAAGCTAATTTGGTTTCACGTGGAATGTACGTTGAACGATTCCTAATGGAACACGGACTTAACGGTAACTGTAAAAATGTGAAACTTTACATATAGTATTTAGTTTTACGTTTTCGTTATAATGGTTTTTTTTAATGTATTTCTTATAAAAAATCAATACTAGCTAAGTCACGGTAAGAATGGCATTCATATTTAAAGGGGCCGCGAGTACACCTTTACTGAATAAATGAATAAATACACGACAATTCCGAAGAAGAAATAATAATATTGTCAAATGAAAGTCACTTATACTATTTTCTAAACTGTTAATAGAAATTTGCAAACGACAACAAAGAGAATACGCGTTTAAGATGTAATTACACTTTGACTAAGTGTTTAACATTGACCTGAACCCTGATAGATCATAAAATCGTTAACTGTGACACGTTTAAAGGTTGGAGATTTGACTAGAGTCAAATTTCTAGATTGCTAAGTGTGAGTGAATTTTAATCGGATAACAACAGTAATTTTAGACAGATTATCAATCCTATTCATATTCACCCTAGTTAATAAAATACAGTTTAAGCTCATTACAGAGTTTTTTTTTTTTGGATTTTTTCCATCTATAGATTGGCATCGAAGCGTTTATTTGAAAGTGATAAAATCGGTTATAATCATTTCTGAAGACCTGCTACATGTTCCTTCCCTATGATACACTTTAATACCACTGTGCTTTTCAATGACTATAAGAGTTTAGTAATTAATCATTCTACAAGACACTTGATTGGTGATAATTATTAAGGCTTTGTTCAAACACCACGAGCGTTGCAAGTATATTCCTAAGTATGGGGGCATTAAGTAAACAAATAAATAACAAAAAAATACCATCGCTGGATCCGCCAGAATTGTAAACTCCGACGCCTTTACCGGCTACCCTTCCTCCGACCGGCATATCCTCGGTTATAAGTACTCTGCGAAAATCCACTGACAGGACGACGTGCAATGATTAATCGCTGTATATCTTCTGTAATTACATAATAATAATAATATTTAATTATAGTATACGTTAAGTTCATTATGGCTGCGATGCCATTATTAAATGGGTTTTTGTCACGACTCACGAGTATAATATTAGGTTCTAGGCTATATTCTTGTTTAGTCTTTGCGAAATCATTAATTTCCTATTGTAAAGCTTGCTCGGTCAAAAGGGTTGACTGTTAGTTGCAGCTCGAGTTGTTTGCCAACTATAATAATAGCAACACTGCAGATGAAGTGTTTGTTGTCAGTGTTGTAATAGAACAACACGGAAAAGCCTATGATTTATTATGCGTTGTTAAACGTTTTAAGGCAAACGAAGGCGGTCGTTTTTTTGACGTTTTAGACCAAAAAAAAAAACCTGACAAAATGTCGACTACTTAGGACGGTCCGATTTCAATTCTGTACAGATTTATGAGTTCGTTGGCTGCTTTATTCAGTTAGGTTGTAAAAGGATTTTGCTTTCTAAATATAGGTTTTTAAAAAGCTATAATTAGAACTGTCTTGGTCAAGCTCTTCTGAAACAAGAACGATTCAAGCATTCAAATGCATCTGTCTCTATGAAACTACTTATACTTGTCGCCTATTGCTGACCAATAAATCTCTTCAATGCAATCTAAAATCGAAACTAGAATAAAATATCATAACCCACATATTAGTCGACAAGTCTTTTAAAAATCGAATTGACTCGAAGATCTAATTTTTGTTTCAAATTGTTAAAAAAAAATGTTGAAATTAATCATGCGAATTGATTTGAATCACTTGATGTCTTATTATTTTTAAATCGAATTTGTCATGATGAAGTTTTTTTCATCGAATCTAGATTATGATGACCCGAGTACATAAACGATCAAAGAAAAATTGGCCAGGAATAATTATTAATCCAAGAAAAAAATGACCCATAGATGTTTTGTATTTAATTAACAAGATATTATTTAAGAGATGTTTTATTCAGAAATAAAATAAAATAAATAACCTAATATAATGTTTATTATATTCTGCGCATAAAAATCAATAATTTGTTTTTTGGATTGAATTTCGTACTTGTTCAAAAAAAAGTTAAATTTTGTTGTA